TTGTATCACTTTTTGATTATTGGGATTACTTATCACGGTTTATAACTATTATGTATTCTTTGGACAGACTATTGTTCATGATTCACATGCAGTAGTTTGTGCTTGTTTGATTATTATTGCTTATTCTTTATATATATATATATATAAATACACACACACACGCATATATTTATATACACACATATATACATATAAACACACATGCACACATATATTATATATATATATATATATATATATATATATATATATATATATAATGATTTTGTATCACTTATAACACCTCTAATGTTTATAATCCCACAGTAACAAACTCAGTTATGTAACCGGAAAATGATTATAAGTAATATACTACTTAACTTCATATGGAAAAATTACACATTTCATTTTAAATTTTGAAATGATGAATGTTATTGGAAGTGTACATTTGACTTTACTTGATTTTACAGGTTTACATAATACCTTAAATTAGATAGACATACCACACATACCATTTTGGATATAATCCATAATTTACTTCTTTTGCTTTTGCTCCTTTGCAACTACAACATTTTGAGGTTCCCTATCAAATGATCTAGTTTTTATAAACAAATGCTCCTCTCAGCTTGGGTTGCATTTAAATTAAGTTCCTTTTATATATACAAAACTGTTTGAAAAGCAATATCATTCAACCAAAACAATCAATTAGATGGAATTATTATAAACATATGCTGTCCTTGTGACAGAAACACTTTATTATAATGATTAATGCGATCTTGTCAGGAGTTTAATATTTAAGAGCATATATATTCTGCACATTCTTTAGTTCTTTCGTTAGACCTATGCAAATCATTTAAGTGTAAACAATACTTGTGTTCTAGCAGCTGGAAAAGAAAAAAATGTTAGAACTCGTTTCCAAAGAGAAATTGTTTCTGTATCTTCTGCCATTTCATAATTGAATGCAGTCATTGATACTATTCAGTAGAGGAAGGTATGGCCTTCAAAAATATTATATTGAATTTAATTGAATTAGCCAATGTAAAGTCTATAGGACTTTACATTGGCTAATCTTATAGTAAAAGTATTCCATAAATTGCTTTGCATGTGTTTTGGTCTGATATTTTTGAATTCATTATTTTTTACTCACAAATGTAAATAGTCAAACTCAAACTGCTGTTTCTGACATATAAAAATAATTTGAAAGATTAATCTACTTTGATTCGATTTTAACCTAAAAATTCTAAAGTTGTTTCTATATGTATATTTTGCACGCATTTCTTTATACAGATAAACACTCACGAAACGGAAGCTGATGCAGACTACGTCAACAGACACCGGACACTGTATTGCATTGTGGGAGAGCGGAAAAAGCTTTTCATACACGAGCCTATCTTTGGTAACTACAAACTGCCCGGTGGAAGGTTCTTAATGTTTATTTATTTTATTTTTTTTGTATTTTCTGCCTGCTGAAATTGTATATCTAGATAACGTATAGTTATAGCAAGCAATTGATCTCTATTCTGTGTTAATTTCAGCACTTTCAAGCCTGGAAACTTATTTACTCAGTTTCTTACCTACTGTTTCACCACATACTTAAACACGATTGTTGCGGTTTAGAGCTTCAGTCTTGAATCTATAATCGAGGACAGCGAATCTGCTGCCATTTGGTTAAAAAACCAATAGAAAAAAAGAAACTGGCATGTTTTCTTTGAGAAGGAACTGAGGCTACAGAGTGATATTTACTCTTATCGGCGGGAGCTTAATTTGGGTAACTGGAGGCACAGCCGGCACTGAGAGGACTCCGGATACGGGGGACGCAAAGAAAAGAGGGGACTAAACGCAGAATGAGCTACAAGCCTATTGCGCCAGCCCCGTCCGGCCCCAACCACACCCCGCCAGGTCAGCGCCCTCGGACGAGAATAGGTGTCCGGATTCTCCTAAGTTAAATTATATCATATGCCACATTTTATGGTGGCACAGTAAATTAATTATGGGCAGTTTGTTCTTTGTTGTGGAGATGACCTGAAAACCGCATGAATGAAAGGGTGAAGCCAGTCAACATCTGAGCGGTGACCGCGGTAGATCTTCTATTTTAGTGATGCCTTCATGTTTCTGTGTTGCCATATTCTGTTTTCCAGCTCTAATTTAGTAGGCGAGGCATTTAAAACTGAAGGATAAAAGCAATAAGTATATTTTCCAAGGCAATTTATAGAATTGGTACTACTCAGTTGCATAGTTCGAACCATGTAAATTGCTAACGTTGTATGGTGTTTTGTTAACAACTATGCTTTTGGGAAACGTACCGCAGGTTGGTTGTATACGGTTTCAGCTGTTAACTTGTGTACCACCTGGCTAGCATGTCGAATGTGGGCTGGCTTTATATTACAATGATGATGCTTGAGTGTGTGGTTCTGAACGGTTTAAAACCTGTAACCTTTCTTTGCAGGTTCTAGTGTTTCTTCCCTGTCTCCCTCTCTCCCTTCCTCTTCCACCTACAGACAGGTGTTTAATGACTTTGGTCCCCCTTCAATGGGCTTTGTCCAGGTAACAATTGTTGGAAAATATATGTATGAATGAATGAAATACATGCACAGTATAACAAAATGTTTAAAACTATTTATTTCGGTAGTAAGTATATATTTGCACAAATAAGCAATTTAACAACACAACATATGCAAATTAACAGTAACACAATATAAATAAGACTGACTTCTCTTCTCCAAAAAGTTAGTGATATCTTGTTGGATCCAACGCTTTAGTTACCAAACCTCTCCGGTTTTCTCTGTATTAGTTAATTAAATGAGCTGGTGATAAATTTTAATTTAATTAGCTAAATAAGTCAATGAGACATCGATTAGCCAAGCGAGTTTAGGGGAGGTTTAGAAATGGCTAAGCTGACACACTTTGATAGAGGAGAATTATGATCTAACTTAAAGATTAGTCTAAACATCATTTTCTTTGCTTTAGGCCTTTGTGCAGAGCTGTGTGTGTGTTTGTGTGTGTTGTGAACATCTTTGCGTTTATGTTTATATATATATATATATATATATATATATAATAATATATAGGAATTGGAATTTTGTGTAAAAATATTCTTCTCACTGTGTGGGATGAGGGTTAAGTGTACTGTTCTCATCGCTCTGCCATCTCTCTCTCTCAGCCAGTGAAAGTTTCTCAGGGGTCCACTTACAGTGAGCTGCTGGCAGTCATTGAGGAGATGAGTCGTGAGATCCGGCCCACCTATGCTGGTAGCAAGAGCGCCATGGAGAGGTTGAAAAGAGGTATTGCAGTTAGGAACCATGAAACCCGTGTGCACTAATCATGCACAAAATCATTATTTGTGTTTGTGTGTCGCCTACATCAACCAGTCTGACCCATTCTTGTGGACTGGAAACCACTCCAGTGCCATATGTGCTGTGCTACGATAAGGTTTGCACGCTCAGTCTCCCAGTCAGCATGGTGCGTTGACTCCAGATTTAAAGTTGCCTGTTTTTTCATGCCAGCTCTGATTATCTGCTTGTGCTTCTTGGGTGTGTTAAGCTTTGCATTATGTACTGCAGTTCTTTTGAAATGGAGCTTGCTTTGTTTATTAACAGCCACTGACAATTTAATACTAGTAGTGGCCCAGACCGGAAAGCTAACAATTTACAATCTGACACAGTTCCATACATTCCACAACAAACATTATATGGTTGCAACATTTACTATTAACAGAACTACACGAATGCACATTAATTTTCAAGCCTGCTGGTAACTGCATAATTATCCTGCTGACCAACCCCGTTATGTCAGCCAATCATGGACAGTATGTGGTGGGTCAGAACAAACAAACAAAAAAATACCAAACGTTTGCCTTGAGGACCCTGCACAGGCAGTGTGTTGAAACACTGATCACCAGTGATCACCACCTATACAATGAGGTATTGTTAACATGATGCTGATTCTGTCAGTTTCGTTTGAAGTATACACCCAGCCTTTGCTCTGCCTTGTCAGTGTCTATTAGCTGGGTGAAACCCACTGTCACTGTAGGACCTCATAGTTATGCCTTTGAATGTGCTGTTTCTCTGACGCTGCGTTCTTTTATCTATATCCCTGTGTTGAAGTCGACTTGCGTTAATGGGGTACTCTTCTCTTCCCCTCAGGTATTATCCACGCTCGGGCGCTTGTCAGGGAGTGTTTGGCAGAGACGGAAAGAAATGCTCGCTCATAACACACCACATTATCACACGTCTTCTCTGATTCGTCATTCTCTCTGCTCCATACAAATCAATGCTGTTAGTGTGGCTGTTTTTATAAACCTTTTTTTACAGTTGGTTGATATAAATAAATTGTTTTTCACTCAGTCCTTGTATATACTGTGTGCCTGTCTGGAGTGAATGTACTTTGTGTTGCCGGGTTTAGTTGTGCTTTAGTTGTGCGAATTAACTTTTTGCCAAGAAGAAATTTCATGTCGGTGATCCCCCCCCCCCCCCCCCCCACCCGCGGGGGGGGGGGGGGGGGGGGGGGGGGGGGGGGGGCAGACGGACACCGACAGGATTCATGGTGTTCATGTGTTTCTTTTAATGACAGCAGTCAATATAACAACTGAACTAAACATCAGAACATTTCTTTTTATGACAGTTATCACAAAGTGTGCATCTTCACCACCCTGGGAGCGTTTAAAAAAGGCAGATATTTTTGTTTGCTTTTCAGGTGGTTGACGTGACACATATTTTCCGACGTGCGCTGGTGGAAGCGTGCTCACGTGTGTGCTCACCTGTTTGTGTGCGCACATCGGGGCGGAACTCCGCCATGCGCGATACAGAGAGCAGAGGAGAATTGTAAATGCATGACTGTGTAGAGACAAAAATGACAAGCTGTTGTGTAAATATTTAGTTTAGTAAAAGGACAATGTATAGACTTGTTCTATAGGAAAGGTAACCTTAAATGATTTCTGTTGTGATTGGGCGCTATATAGAAAATAAAATTAACTTGACCTTCAAGGGGGGGTGGGAGGTGCTGTTGGGGGGGTGTGGGGTGTCCCCCTAATATAATGGTAGGGGAAACACTGAATATATAATCTTATTTAAGACACACTCAACAACTTAAATTTCAATATCTTCAATATGACCTTTCTAGGTCATATTGTATATTTCAGCCAATATTTCAGCCAATTTCCCTATACTAATTTCTTTCAGGTTGCACATTTTTGTAAGATATTTTGCTTGTATGTCCTGCTTCAGCTCATGGGACAGCATTTCAGTGAAACTGAGATCAGGCCATTTTTCTTCTGTTGGAACCAGTCTGCTGCACATTTACTCCCAGTTTTCTCAGAGGTATCAGATCACAGACAGACACCCCAACACTGTACTGTAGAACTACTTTGTAAAATAATCATTAGTCCTTCAATGATTGCAAATCAGCCAAATCCGGAGGCAAGGGTGTGATTACACACCATCATATCCTCTTCACAAAGCTCATGAACATTGCAGTTCCGGCATGGAGCATTTTATGCTCCCTCTCTATTTTTGCATCCTCCTAGAATAGGCTTCCTACTTGCCATACTTCTGCATCTGATGAATGGTTATTCCTCAGCTGCCTCATGCTGCTGCTTCCATGGAGTATTAGTGTAAAATAATAGAGTCAGTAAAAGAATTGTGGAAGTCCTGACTAAAGTGACTCTAAAGCTCCTATTGAGACATTCACAGTCTTGGTGCCTGAGGGCAGTGTAATGAAACTCTTAAGCCAGACACTGCAAACAATGTCTTCTGCACACAATGGCTTTTGCATTGCTGAGATTTATGTTATCTCTGTTCACTCTGCTCTTGTTTACATCTCATTTTTTCTATCCTAATATCTCATTCGAAGGGGGTTACTACAAAATACCTGGCATGATTGAGAAAGAATGGCTGTAAGAGTCAATTGTTTGTATGTGTTGTTTGTATAATCATTTCTGATGCTCTAGCATTGAAGCAGTCTAAAAATCAGCACTTAAGGTAGTTCTTCAAAGATTTCGGATTCTGATTTTAAAAGTACAGTGCGTATGTAGCGGGGAGAATTATAAATGTTAATTTTTGTAGTCAGAAACTCCCAGGACTTGTACAGCTGTATTCAGCTGTTAATCATTGTTACATTTAATATATCGAATGATATAAATTTAATTAATAATTTAATTGTATCCATCAATTCCATGATCACACCGCTTTCTTAATTAATTCGATCTTCAATGTTACAGGCGATTGCTGTGCTTTGGCACCCTCTAGTGTTTGCTGATATGTTAGGGCAGTGAAAAACCTCCCCCTGAAGTTATGCGTTTCTGAGAATTTATGCTTTGAAAAAAAGAAAGTATAGTGAGACGTGTGCTATTTAGATAATATTTTTTGGACTTCACCCGAGTATCAGCCTGCGTTGCAGTTATTGTTTTAATTCTAATGACTAATGCTGTGTGCTTGTGTCTGTGTGCGTGTGTCTGTGTGTGTGTGCCCTTAAATGGACTAGTATCCCTTTCAGGGTGTTCCTCATCCTGTTCCCTGTAACAGAGCCACAGCAAAGTCACCCGGATAACCCCAGGTAATGAGCAAACCAGTCACACCAGGCCCCATGTTGTTCTGACAGGCCCACATAGAGAATAATCCTCTGCAGATGAGGTTGTGGATGGATGGAAATGAGGTGAAGCCTCTTTACTCCATATTAAGCAGCGTTAGTTATAGGCTTAACCTTTGACCCTTGAGTAAATGTCCAGTTGTGTGTGCTTGCTGGCAGGCACAAGGAATCGGAGGTCAGAGTGACTCTCAGTTCTGCTCACATGGACTTCCTTGCCACTGGAATACTCAACAAAAATATACCCTTTTTGTGCGAGTACTGTGTACGAGATGATAAGCAGGTGCCATTCACTTTTATGTTTGATTGACATTAACAGTTTTGCTATAAATTAACGGGAATTAAAATGCTGGAGACCTGAAGGATTTTTTTCCCGCGTTTGTGGGTGTTTGTGGACGGGAGAGATGCAGTACATACTGCAGACAGAGGAATGGGGGAAGGACATTTGAGACCTTGAGTAGGATACTGTGCAGTTTGGTACCTGACCCAAAAACTCAACATGATCAAAATCACCAGTTCTGGCAGCTGGAGCGAATCCTGAATCATCCTGGGTCCTGAAGCCAGAATGACTTTATTGTAAATGACAGCATCTCTGGGTCAGAAATCATGGTCTGGTGTTCACCCTCATGGAGACCCACCACACAATTTGTGCATTGTGGTGACATGTAAATCCATCCCCTTAACTTGATAATTTGTGTAGCTCAGTGGAAGGCAGAATGGAAAGTGGAAAGACAGAAGATGCAATGGTGTGATAAATAGTCAAAATATTGTAGTGTACTATGGAATAGGTGTGGTAAACTGAGATTAAATAAAGCGTAATGCCAAAAATGCTGGGTGTTTCTACAACTTTGGCCATTAGTATAAGCTAATGGTATTTCAAGTCCCAGTAATATATTGCAATGTGTTTTATAATATAAGATTTCTTACTCAAACAATAATAAACATTTAATTTCTAGCATTATTTCAGTCTTTTACACTGCTGACGCAGTGTGATTATTTTAGGGATTAATGGCACGAGATCCCATCAGAGAAGGCACACAGCAGTTGTGTTGTCAGGCTCTGCAGTGTGAAGCTGTCCGTCTTTACAGGGAGGATAATGCCTGGATAATCGTAGCCTGGAAGGTCTCCAGCTGCAGCTCTAAAAGCCATAGACTGCAGAATAGGCTGGAACTGTACTGAGAACTTTGTTTGTTTAGACACAAGGTATGAATCCTGGTGAAAATCATGTATGCGGCAGAAAGGGGTAAAGGCTGACTGCATGTATGATTTGTGATGCAAGTTATGAGTTCATCCTTCATGAAAAAGGATTAATGGTAAATAGTGCATTCAGTGACCCCCCACCCCACAAACACACACACTTTTCCTCCTGAAGTCACGCACAGACACGGTGGAGTTTCTAATCTGGACACATTTATCCAGGTAATCAGCTCTCGCAGTCTTACTGACACATCCCCAAGGGTGGGACAAGCTGCAGTTGGTCACATCTCCCCGGTGTAGAGCAGAAAGGTACAGTAGAACTTCCCCAGCGAAAAAGCAGGATTTGTTTCCCCAGTATCCCCCAGCCAGCTGTGATCAAGGTAAGACGAACACGCTTTACTTCCTTTCTTTCTTTCAGGTCTTCACAGACAGCTGCCATTTTCTGCGGAAAATTCCCCAGCAGTGTCTACAGTAGCTTATGCCTAACATAATAAATGGAACTTTGGTACCGCTTCACAATAAGGCTACCCATATGAAGAGTTTATGAATGGTTTATAATCTGGTTATTAATTAGGTTGTAACACTTTGTAAATTATTAATAGACAATTTGATACAAGTTATAACAGTTTTCTTTTCCCAGTGGCACAAGGGAGCCTTATTGTACAGTGGTACTGGAACTTTTCTAGGCATGACTTGTGTTCTAGTGCTGGCCAGTGGGTAGTGGTTGAAAATGAACTGGTAACCATGAATGTTGCCTGTTCAAGCCTTATTGGAACTAACCAAGCGCACATGAGGGAGAAACTGTACTGCAGTGAAAATATACAGCCTTGAGTTAAGTTGCTTTGTAGGTTAACAAGACATGCAGCTTTTTCTGTGGAATGTTGCAAAAAGAAATTAGTAAGAAACTACTGGTATGTAGGGGTATGTGTCTGTTTTCGCTTTTGCCTTCCTTGTCATGGTGTGTGAGTGTCTGATTAGTTATACTGCTCATATCAAACGTGTATCTGACTAAGTTTCATCGTTGATGAATTGGAGATATTTCAAATCACAGAAAAGAGTATTGGGGCAAAAAAATTAATCTCAAAATGTTTGTTTTGCCCCTACGACTCCTCCATTGAAAACACATTATTAAAAGTGAAAAGTGCAAAAGTAGTGTAAGTAGATTGAAAGTTCAAGACCACTTCAGTGGATTCAGATTTTGAACTGATCTGGGCATTTATCTGTAGGTGACTGGATTTTTTGGACTGTGTGTCTTGCCTTGTATGAGCTGTAAAATGTAAAACATATATTTTTTGTACATAGAAGAGTATGTAGAGAGATGGGCAAAAATACATCGAATGTATTCTGATACAAAAAACAAAATACCCCATTTGTAAGTGCATCAAAATAAACTACAGTATGTTGTATTTTAAAAATACAAAACTATGTTTCACATCCTTCTATTCTATATCAGCTTGTTCCTCCACAAGTTCCCTGACCATTGCAATGCCTGAAAACTACTACTTGTGTTTGCACGAACATTTGTTACACGTCATCACGCATGCATTATGAAGAAAGTATTTTTTGTATTTTCAAAAGACAAAAATACTGAACATCAAAGTATGTTGATACAAACTTCATTGTCATCAAGTCAAATACATATTACAAAATGCTATTTTGTATTGAAATACATATTTTGAAGACATGTATCAGAAATACTGCCCATCCCTGTGTATGTAGAATATGTAATATGTGAATTTCTGCACAAATATAAAACAAGCAGTATATTCACGCGCTTGTTCACGTAACGGCTTTTGTGGAGAAGCATGTCTGAGAAGAAGGCAGGAGCTGCTGCTGCTGCTGCTGGGGCTGGAACATCTGGGGAAGCTTCCACATCTCAGCCCAAGAAGACCAAGAAGACGAAGAAGACCAGTGAAAGCGCCATAGCTAAGATGTACTCTCCCCTGCTGAACTCACTCTTTGGTCAGGTCAGCCTTTCCCAGTCTCCCCAGTTCTACAGAACATTACAGAACATATGCAAACGAACAGGAACACAATTAAAATCAACAGGAATTTCTTCTGTGCCTTGAGAAATCCCTGATATGTTCTTGGATATAAGAAACCAGGTTTTGCTCCCAAACCTCTTCTCAGAGGCACCTCAGCCATTCCGTGTAGTCTTTAAATTTGATGAACACTTAATTAGCTTAGTAAAATAATTTGATGAGGTATTGATGCATCAAACATACTATGCTAGTGGTTATGTCAACAAATCCATGGATATATTGGATGGCTACTGTAAATGGCCAAGTCAGGGCTGCACTGATCATCTGGTGTACCGGTGGGTCAACAAAATTTGTGAGGGACCCCAAAGAATATATCGCTCAGCAACAGTTCTCATGGAAACCCTTCTTCCCCTCTCAGAAAAATTAATCGTGGGAAACCTTATAATCCAGGGCCATTTTTAAATTCCAGTCCAGCCCTGGGCTAAGTTAACATACTTTGACATGCTTCACATCAACATAAAGATCATTTAAACATCATTTTTTTTGGCTGCCTAAATCTTTTGTATAGTACTGCTTCCTCAAAACTTTTACTAAAAACCATCGTCAGCATAAAAACCGGCATATGCACGCTTGTTCCAAACACCTGCCCTGTGTGTACATACACCTAAAATCAGCATATGACAAACACCTGCCCTGTGTGTACATACACCTAAAATCAGCATATGACATATGAAAGCTTGATCCTTTGAATGCAGTGTCAAGGGCATGCGATGCATCCTACAGCTGCATTTTGTTTGGTCGTCAATATGAACAGCGACAACAAACCAGTAATTTCTCAATTTGGAACACAGAAGCTAAGGGTGTCACTTAAAACACACTGTATTGTGTCCATATGCAACAAGATTCAATCCACTAAAGAGAGGTTAGACCCCAGGAACGATCCGCCACAAGCAGAAAAGCTGTATTAATAGCTCATTAATATGGATTAGTGTCTCCACTAATTGATGTTGACCCGAATCCACAGTAAGGTGAGAGACGCATAGCGGGGAAAGTGAGGATTATCTTTTCTGTTGTCAGTCTGTGTCTGAGTGCTTGTTTGATGAGGTTGGAGGGTCGTGGATATATCTTTGTGTGTGTGAATGCATGAGCGGTTGACTGATTCAGTGTTGTTTGGTGGTGCCAGCTCTGTGTGTTGGGCTGCTGTGTTTTTTTCCCTTGTCAGTCAGGGCTTTGGCTGCTTCTGATGTGCCTATTAGATGACAGATGAGGGCATGGTTGGGATAGTGAGTGACCTTGGCTCGTTTGGTCACCTACTAATGTGTTCCAGCATCCTGGAGCGTGTGCCCATGTGCAGTTTTATGAGTGCAGGCTCTGTGCTTAATCCAATAAACACCAGAATTGCTCGTCCTCAATACTTATTCTAATTTCCACCATATTCCTAGTCACACCATCTACTCATGTTTATGTCCATCACTTGCAGACACTTTAACACAATCCCCTTTAATGCAAAAAGTATTGCCAGTTTGTTTTGCATACTACTAATGTGGTAAGTGGTATATATTAAACGGTAGGGTTGCATTTTTAAAACAGACTCCACCGAATGTTCATTATGGAAGACAGATAGATGGTAATCCACCGTTTTGGTGATTCTCTCAGTGCTTTACCTTGTGCTTTAATTTTTTTCCTCCCAGGAACGGCAATTGGTACCTGAGGAATTGGATGGTGAGTTTGACTAATAATTATTGCAAGAGTATCCTTTACATTTGCTGGTCAAAAACAGTAGTACAAACTGGCAGAACAGCCAAACCCCTTAAAATGAGCACAGATTCATTCAACTCACTTCTTGTTTCAGTCATTGGGGCTTTGGATTCTCATTACTTGTGCAGCAAGGACATTAAAGCACATACCTCTGTGTGTAGCATGGTGGGGGCCTCACAGTCGGGGCCTCACAGTCGGGTTTACTTTTCTGTATGGGGAGTGTTTGCATTCTTCATCTGCCTGGTTTGCCCATCTTAACATGTCCACATGTTTTGTAGTGTTTTAGGTGGATACATAGAAAAATAGAGAACATAGAAAAAATTAATGTTTATTTTGGGTGTATCTAGAATGTATATTTTTTGCACAGGAATTCACTGTATTGTACCACAATTTAAAACATTAATTTATAAACATCTTATTTTTATTAATTATGAGGAAAGTGAACTGATATGTTTAGCACTGCTAGCCCACAAATCTGGGACCTGGGTTCGAGTCTCCTCCATGGCTCCATGTGTGTGGAGTTTGCATGCTCTCCCTCTGTCGTCGTGGGGTTTCCTCTCTGTACTCCAGGTTAATTGGAGTTACAAAATTGCCTGGGTTGTTCCCTGCCTTGGCCTGTAGCCTCTGGGATAGGCTCTGGACGTCCCCCCTCGCCAATCCTGCATAGGACAGGCAGTTACAGAATGAAGGTGTGACTAGTGATTGTATCTATATGTTCTGTGGAACTCTAAGTGACGTGATGGGATATGAGACTGGTAGGAGACACAGTAAGGGAAAATAGCCCACATGCAGTGTACTTTATTAACAAAAAACCTCAACATTGGTTGGGGGGACATGCATCCGGGGTGGGGATAATGCCCAGAATTAGGTCAGAATACTTGCAGGCAGTGCGTGGTTCTGGGTAAAACCCTGGAATCCTGATGGGATGGTTGTCAAGACGATGTGGACAGCAGGCCCTTCGTAGGCAGCATTCTTCGGGGGGAGTCCGCATAAGAAGATCTGAGCACCGCTGGCTGCTGGCGGTCCCCTCCCTCATCCTCCTGCCCCTCCTTGCTGCCCTGCTTTTATGGAAAGGCTGGTGGGCCAGAAAGGGGTCACTGCTGGGGGGCTTTTTTTAGCCACCAGCTGTGGGTAATTGAGACTCCCCCACCACGGTGTCCAGCTCTCCTCTTTTCTGCCAGCGTGACTCTGACACACCCGGGCCAAGCTGGGCAGAATGCTCTGTATGTCACTCAATATCTCAGAATCATTCTGAAGGCTTTTGTCCTACACTGGGTTCCAGTGAAACTAGCAAATTTCTTTTCCTGATTCCCAGAGTTAAGTGAGGCCTTTAAAGAGTTCGACTATGACCAGGATGGCTACCTGAACTATAAAGACGTGGCTGACTGTATGAGGACCATGGGCTACATGCCCACGGAGATGGAACTCATTGAAATCATCCAGCAGATCAAGATGAGACGTAAGTGTTGCAAACTGGACTGTAATGTTGCACTCAGTTTAGTTTCTCATTAGATTATTACGGTGTAGGTCTGTTGATCACTGGCCTTGTATCCTAGAGTTTGCTCATTTATTAGTGGTTATCAAAATTCTGAATCATAGATTGTGGTGGTGCTGCAGTGTCAGTTGTTGATTGGTTGATTTATCACAGTACTAACCCTTGATTGGTGGTTGCCTTGCAGTGGGAGGTCTGATTGACTTTGATGACTTTTGTGAGCTTATGGGGCCAAGGATGATGGAGGAGACCGCTCACATGATGGGGATTAAGGAGCTCCAGTGTGCTTTCAGACAGGTGAGGGGAAAACACAAGGGGAACAGGAAACCATTCTATACAATATAAAACAATCGTCATCATATGGAATACAGATCACAGGCAGTCCTACAGAATTTACAATGACACGGGTCTGAACAGACTACGGCTGTGCATCTCCATCACGCAGGCCAATGCAATATGGATCTTGCTGCATTGTACTAAATATAAAATTATTGGTCACAATTCAAAATAATAATGGCATAGGGCCTCTATTAATAATTATATATTAATCAATTGGACTATGCACAGATGTTACAAACGATGCATCCTGAATTCATTCCAAATTGTATCTATTGTATACATTTTTAATTAGGACAATCGCATCATCAGTTTTTATGTTGGTGCACTGATGCAAATTGGTGATGCAATTGCCTCTGGAGCTCATGACTCGTTTCCTTCTCCCTGGTGCAGTTTGATTCTGATGGTGATGGACTGATCACCTATGATGAGCTGAAGGACGCTATGAAGTCCCTCCTTGGAGAGAAGCTAAAAAAAGGAGAGCTGGATGAGATGCTCAAGGAAATAGACCTGAACGGAGATGGGAACGTAGACTTTAATGGTATGTCATACGCAAATGTGCAAGCGAGCGCCTGCATTTCTCACTTTTGCATAGTAATGCTAGTATTGACCTTTTGGAAATGGTCCCAGCAGCAAGAAATCTTCTGCAAGATTTAAGAAGAACCTTTGTTCTTTCCTCAATGGGTCATTTTCCCACATCTCACAGGTCTTTTTGTGTCAATTTGAGAATCACTTTTCACAATCCAAATTTTGGTGATGTGTATAGGACCTTTAGAGCAGGGTTCACCAACTCCGGTCCTGGAGGGCTACTATCCAGTAAGTTTTCTATCCTACCTGGCTTCTGATGAGCCACACTAGTTCTCAGGTAAATACCAGGAGCAGGTGTGGCTCATCAGAAGCCAGGTATGATAGAAAACTTACTGGATAGTAGCCCTCCGTGACCGGAGTTGGTGACCCCTGCTTTAGAGAGTAGTTTGACTAAAATGTTTTGATACAGGATATTGATGCAGAATTAGTCAAGATCAACAAAAACTTGCAGTCATGTTTCATAATAGGTCCCACATTCCACCGTGACAAATTTTACATCAAATGAAACTGTTACTTTTATTAAGATACATGTTCTCAGCTATAAAATCGAAAATGTTCTTTCTTTACATAAAGATTATTTCCCAGGAGGTGATATGAAATGGTTTTAAAACTTTCATTTTCAGAATGTCAGATGATTGTGTTTTGGAGACGGTCTCAGTGGTAGCTCTTGACTTTCCTTTGACCTCTCAGACTTTCTCTCCATTAAAGTTCTCTCCATTCCATGTGCTTTGGTGTCACATGCATGGGAGACTAGTACAGATCTACCTAATGTTCTTACATTAGCCTCACATTTTATAGAAAATGGCACAGCATTTTATATACAGAGATTAATATTTGCTAACACCAAGTGTACAGCAGTCAGAAATGTATAGCAAACATTATTTGTGTTTTTTTTTTTGCCTTTCAGAGTTTGTAATGATGCTGTCCCGGTAACTGCGGCTGTTACTTGCAGCTGGGCCCCACACCTGCGCAAGCACTACAGAATTCTGTATTTGTGATTTTTGTGACTATATGGCTGTTCTGCAGTTCTGAGAAGTGTTTCTGTCTTTCCGTACGTGACTGGTATTGAAGCTTGTAAGATCCATATGATACACCTGTTACTGTGTACGGTTCTCTTAGAAACCCATTAGAAACGGTTTTTAAAAAGCATTATGAAATAAGAGGCACCAAAGATATTGGCATTTTTGGCTGGAAATTACAATTGTTACACTCCTAGATTAGATATGGAGAGATTGGAACCTGACCATGGAAGCGCAGGGCAGGGGAAAGCCCAGGAAAGGAGGCCGGCCCGTCACAGTGCACATACTGGGAAACATGCAGAGCTGGGGACAGAGATGGAACCTGCAACCCATGAAGCGTAGCATGCTACCCATTACACCAAGCCATAGTTAAATTGTTGTGATATAGTGTATCATTGTGTTATAGCGTACTGTTGTATATTATAGACAGTATTATAGAAAGTTGATTATTAAAGACAGTGATTTAATGGTGGAGGGGGCTCTTTTCTTTTTAACTGGATGAAGAGATGCTGTCTGTACAGTTGCTAAAACAGGTAATCAGATCCTTCTATCACTGTCCCAGTCAAGCAGAAATGTAATTAATCTGAATTTACTATATTTTGTTTTTGCTACCCTGCCCGTTCCCATTTTCATCAAAAATAGTTCAACACAGACGCATCTCCAAGCAAGGTATAAATTTATTTACTTAAATTTGATAACTTAAACAATACAGACAAAAAAACTATAAAAAATCTTCATGAATGATTTACAAACTTCAAAGCCTGAATCTGACACAGAAGCAGTAAGTTTGTCGAAACATCTCAGGTGCAACACAACGCAACGTTAAGGCACAGTTATCCTGCTCCTCTGTGGTTGTGACGGTCCCCTTAACAGGCTGAATGTCCAGAACCATTCAGCTGGTATCTACACCATAAACTGTGCAAAGTTGGACTTGAAGATCCTTTCACATCTCCTCCTCCAATTTAAACATGCAAACGCCTCACTTCGAGAGCCACAGTACGACTCTCCATGCACGACGGATACATCAAACCGTCACACCCGCCAACAAAACAGAGATAATCTAAATGCAATAAACACATCATTTACTTAATTTAAATGCTGCAAATATTCCCACAATAATTGCTCCTGATATTATTATATAAAGTGCAAAATTAAGTTTGATTTAAAAAAAAATAATCTAATTTGGTGAAATAGTGAAGGTAGTGAATTAATGAATACTGAACAGAACAGAACAAAAAATGCAGACTAGCCATTACAGGTTACTTTCAACACCATGGATGACTGATGTGGGTCTTAGATTTAGGAGGCTGTGCACCTCTGTCAGCTAAAAGGCAGAAGCACATGTTGCCTCACGTTCCACAAGGACGCCACACGAAAGTAGTGCAGAGTCATCAAATGCAAAGTGTCACGAAGCAGAACTTGACGTTGCTTGTACTCGGAATTTCACGGAAATTGCTAAAACACCCCACGAGACATTTTCCCGCCAGAAATATGAAGGGTCACTGGGGTCAGGGGTCGGGAACATTTTGCAGGTAGGTGAGGATCTGTTGGATCTTCAGCAGCCTTTCGCGCAGTGACAGCAGGGACAGCACTGACAGCTGGTACCGCGGGTCTACGGGCAGCACTGCTAGGAGCCACCAGCAGCAGGCCGGTCCGTTTGCTGTGGCCTGGAGACCCACCAAGACACAAACATACTCAGTCACACTCATATAAAGACCTTTTTTTAAACTGCATTTGCACATTCTTCATTAGCAATACACTGCAAGTCCCCGGCTTAAGAACATCCAACTTACATACATCTTGTACTAATGGATGGCCTGCCATAAAAATATAAATATTTGTATAAATATAAAAATAGAGTTAAATACAATATTTCTATATTATTATTTTTATTTAAAATGTTTTAGTGTATTTGGAAGCTTTTCTTAAGTGTTTCATATGCTTTGAAAGGTAAAACTACAAACATTTGACTGACGCTAAATATGAAATGTATGTACCTGTTCTGACTTACCGAAAAATTTGAGTTAAAGACGCACTTAGGAATGGATCTTATTCATAACCTGGGGACTTCATGTTTATATGTATAGTGTATTTATTGTGTTGCCGATGTTTTACACACACACACACACACACACACACATTTTATTTATATATATATATATATATATATATATAGTATTTGTATTTATGTGTAGCATTATATGCCCAAAGGAAACGGCATTTCAAGGCACTACTGGTACATTTGTTGAAAATAAAGAACTCTCAAGTCTTCAGACACAGTGAAACGAATGACATACTGTAGATAGATGGTACATATGACCGTGGTGGCCGGACTCCTTACCTGTATGTCTATCTCTCTTGCTGGCATGGGGCCAAAATGCTGCAGTATTTGGTCGCGGAAACGCGGCTCAAGGCTCCCAAACCAGGTGTGTGCTTGTCTGTACACCTGGTCATGCAGCTCCTGGAGTTTCAGCATCTCCTCCGCATCCGTCACCTGGGGCGACGAAAAAGGGGGAGGTGAGACGCGCGGGCACTTCCCGTGTGCCGAGGCGGGGAGGGGGCGGCCGCTGGGGTACCTTCACGTCTTCCAGGTACTCGATGTCGGCGATGTGGTAGCCATCCCTCATCCCCCGGGCCAGAACGCGGAAGCGCTCACCGCCCACCGTGTCCACCACCGAGCGACCATCCGGCAGGAAGTGGACGCAGCGGATCTGCAGCATGCAGCCATAGTCCACAAACCTGTGGCATGGAAACAGAGGGAGATGCAGAGTATTATAACCTGGTAAAACAGAGCAACAACACACACACACACACACACACAGAGTTACGGGGGGACACACCTGATGAAATCAGTACACATTCACTAACAGTTGCGATTACTGACCCTTAGACAAAACGTAGCTGTAAACACTGCAATACACTGTCCTGTTAAATATGTGTAAATATTGTAATGTAAAAAATGAGATGGGTAAACATGCGGCCATGATAATGACCACTCCTCATTGAAGGACTACCTCGGTTAACAACCATTCACAAATAAGACGGTAATAAAAGATTAGTTTTGGACGCATTTACGACCAAATTTCGTACGCCTGACAAAAGTAGAATGTCAAAAACATGAAAAATGTCCACTTCATGAAGGGTAAAAGAAACTGAGTGTGGATGGCTGAAGTAAAGTCGTAAGCACAGTTGCGGTCATGCCTAGGCTACCGAGATTTTCACTTAGCGACAATTTCGCTTAACGTCAGAGTTCAGTCACTAAATGAGGAGTGGCTGTAATATGTAATGTATGTTTGTTAAACACATGGAAATGTACGTATTGCGTTCCATGTTGTTATGGAAGCCACCTTAAGTGTAATGGAAAGCTCTGATGAAGTAGACAGATCATCCCCCTCTGAGTGCACACAAGGGCTGGGCAATTAATGGAATTTTAATTTCAAGTACAATTTTGGTTCCAATGATTAAAAAAATAAAATAATCGAGATAAAATGATTATTGAGCCACATTTCATTTTGCAACAAAATCCAGCGCAACCCTTTCAGTCCCTTTTTATTTGTTTCTCAGCTGAATTATATTTAGAGTTCAAGGAAATCCTACTGTTAAACATTTTTTTTTAAATTCAGTAAATGCAGGATATTAAAAAAAGTCGATGAATAATCATGTTATATAATCGTGATTATGATTTTTGCATTATTCGAGCGGACACTGTGCCGCGGCCTTACCCCTTCTGCGGGTCACTGATGCACATGCCGAAGCACCTGGTGCCCGTCTCCAGGCAGCGGCGGACCATGAGGCGGTAGCGGGGCTCAAACACGTGCAGCGGGCAGGGCACGGTGGGGTAGGCCATGGTGCAGATGAACATGGGCACACCCCTCCTCAAGCTACTAGGGCAAAGGCAGACCAAGCGGAGAAAAAACAGCAACAAAACGAATCAAACAGGGGCCCTTTAGTGTTATTCTGTTTGATGGTTTTATAGCTGGAGATTTTTATTGGAGGTTAGATAATGTACCTGCATGTAAAATGTTACACTAGCAAACACTCTTCACATTAACAACCAAGTCCTTAGTTATCGTCTTCTCCATTTTATAGCAATACAGCAGTTCTCCTGTATCCACGGATGATATGGAAGACCTACTGTGGAGAGCCGAAACCGAGGATAATAGAGAACCATCCATTGATCCTATTTCTTTTGCATTGCACCGTATTGTGTCCAATCACATTATGTTGAATCCTATCACATCAACTGGCACTGCATCGCCCAATAGGGGGGAATCATATCATATCTCATCAGATTTTTGTGCACTTATATATGGTAATTGATAAATTGTGCACAGTAAGACATTACCAATATTAAACACAGTAATAATACAGTACATTGTATATTATTGTACAGTATAATACTTGAATGAAAGGGATTATGTATGTTTCAGCCTAATTCTCAAGAGACGATAGAGCAATGAAAAAATTTCATGCATCATGGGATGACGAAGCAATGAAAATTATGCTTCCCTCAAAGGATGAAAAAACATACTGTTACACATTTGACTTTTTTTTTTTTCCAAGCTGCGGTAAACTGCAAATAACTAAAACCGCAAATAACTGAAATCACGTGTATGGGGGGATTACTGTAAAAGCGATGAAAGCTGAGTACAGTGGTACCTCAGAACTCGAATTTAATCCGTTCAGAACTCCGGATCGAATCCTAAAAAGTTGGAGTTGTGATCGAATTTTCCCCATAAGAAATAATGGAAAACCAATTAATTGGTTCCCGGCCCCAAAAAATTACACCTAAATATGTTTTTTTAGCACTTAAACACAAAATGAACCGGATAAAACAAGAAGATCATATACTGTACTAAACATATCTACTGTAAGCATGTTTATCAAAACAGTAATTTGTAAAGTAAGAAAATAAATGTATCCCAACAATGTGTAAAGTTAAAAAAAACAATGTGTCCTGCCCCGATCGTCCGCTCCTTCCGTGTGCCACGCCCCCTCGTTAACCCCGTGTGGAATCCCTGTGTGATCAGCTGTTTCTGGTTGTTGTCATCAGTCCTCTGTATTTAGTCCGCGTTTTAGTTTGTTTCCCCAGTCCGGTCATTGTATTGTCCATCTGCGTTTTGCCTGCCTTACCTGTAATTAAACCCCGTATTCCCCGATACCCTGACGTCTGCGCCTTTGTCTCCGTTTCGTCCCCGCTCCGCACGACAATATTATTATAATTAAATGTATGAATGGTTTATTATTAATATTAAAATAATTAATAAGAAATCTTTATTTTAAAATTTATTTTATTATATAATAATAATTACTGTTACTGTCTTTCTTTGTCCAAATGTATTTTTACTGTCGAAATATATGTATTCAGATAGTGTAAACATGCACGATGCTATCACAGCGAATGCGAGGCTTAGACTGAAGCGTTACCCTTTGTTTCCACTGAGAGACGTGCCGCTTGACTCATTTCCGCGCGTACAAGTTATCTGAGGTTGGCGTACACGGTTTGACTTCTGAGATTCAGATCGAGTTCTAGGTAATTTTTTTTCGAACTGGTTGGTTCAACTTTTAAGAAATTCGAGTTCCAATGAGTTTGAGAACTGAGGTACCACTGTATCATTTTAAAAATTAGCGTATAGCTAAGAAATAAGCCTTGGTTGCTAATTAGAGTTACTTCTGAAGGGATAACAGTGCAGGACTAGGTACAAGTCCATGCAGTCAGATCGCGCTAGGGTGCAGGTGGGGGGTGGGGATTACTCACTTTGAGAGCTCCTCCATCTCCTCAGAGTGGCTCCTCAGGCGTTCCAGATACTCCTCAGGGAGAAGCGTCTTCATCAGTGTCTCAAGCACCGGCGTCACGCTGAACTTCTTGCTCGCTAGGAACTGCAGGCAGAGAGCCACCCATCACAGCGTGAGGAGACAGCAGACAGAGAAAGACACCATCATTTTGAGACCATATTGGGTGGGAGAGTGGCTCACCTCCCGTAGGCTATCCTTGCAGAGTGGACACTGAGGGGCGTGATCCAGGCACCGTTCCAGGCAGCTTCGGCAGAACGTGTGTCCACAGGGCGTGGTCACCGGTTCGTAGAACAGTCTATAACAGACCAAAACACGCCCAGCTAAATACCAGTTAAACCAAACCACATAAAATCAATTTAATCAAATCAAAGTTTATTTATCAATTGCACAATCACTGGCATGGGACAAGGTTTTTAACTCAGGGTGCTGAAAGTCGAACGACCAGTAGACGTCACAGTATCATTGCAAGTTATCAACAGCTAACAACAGTAGTGTTTTTGGAGAAATAACCATGAAGTTGCCTCGGAGCCATTGTGAGATAAGTGACATAACACTAGGTTATTCCTACATGAAACTGACAAGGGGAGGTGCTGAAACATCCTCAGCACCTCACCTTCCAACACTACTGTGCACAATATAGCATGCAGCAGTACGTGTAAGCAATGAAATGAACAATGAAATGAGCAATGAAATGAGCAATGAAATGAGTTCCCCTGGGAAAACTAAATAAATAAATAAAACGTGCAAATTATCCATAGTAATAGCCTGATCAGCTATAGAGTAGCCTCACTGCCTGAGGGTACAAGCTATTATGGAGTGAATATGATGAATGTGAAATGGGAACAGTCTGTTAGACAGGTATCCCACAAGCAGAAAGCTGGTGCATTTGGTCTTTTCTGACCCTCTTGTCATGATTGAGTGTCACAGTGCTGCTGCATTTAATCTTCATGCCCCTCACCTGATACAGAGAGAACACTCAAAGTCACTGGCCTCCAGCAGCTCCCTGGGAACCCCTCTAGAGGGCACTGTGGCATCTAGACAGAACAGGAGAGAGCCGATGATTGAAATATGGTTGAAAGGGAGTGCTTTATGGTGAATTCCATTTGAACTCGGAAGTCGAGTTCCAAATCCAAGTCGGAAATTTCAACTGGGACGCCCCCTGAAGTCGGAATTCTGACTCTGAAAGACGGAGGAACCTTTGGAACCCCAGCCTCATAATTCAAGACTGCTATTTTCTTCATCAAACAGAAGTGAATGCTGCAGTTATATACTACTTATTTGCACTTATATCTTATTTGTGTCATTCAATCAGTTGTAGACACAGTATATATGGGCGCATGTACACACGCTGCTATCTGTGGGCATGTTGCTATGGAGTTTGCATGCGGAAAAAAAACAGCATAATGCATTGTTATCAACTGGTATTGGGTCATTCCATGTCAAATCAACCAATGGCCCACGCACTTCGGACTTTAAAATTACCAGGTCTCCCCATGTTAGTCAAGATACATCAAGTTACAGGGTGTAAGATCAATATATTCCAAGATACAGCCCATATCCTGAGGGGAGGGGGGTGTCAATTTTATCCAGCCTCATTTTTCCATTAAATTTCACAAGTCCATAGCTCAAGAACTAAACCACCGAGCAGGCTCAGACTTTGCATGCTGGTACATTATTTGGTATAGTAGGTGCTGAAATTAAACTATTTGGTCCAGATGACCATGCATGGCCAAAGCAGCCCCTTGAATTTCACAAAAAATTATCTGAGTTTTTGCTTTAGCTATATTTAGCTATATGTGTAACCAAAACAGCCCTTAGATTTTCCTTCCTTATAATTATATAGACTTTCTGAAAAAGCAATACACAGAAAAGGAACTGCATCAGTATCAGGAACTGCATCAGTATCAGGAACTGTATCAGGGTTTGAACAGCAGACCTCTCAATTCCAAAAAAATATTTTTGATCTCATTTTCAGAGCACCCTCATGGCATGTGGGAATGTGCAGAGAATTTAAAGCATATTTTTCATTTATTCTACATTGTCCCTTCTGTCTCAGAACACAAACCTTACTTTTCTTAAGAAAATCTTTCATGTTTATTTTCCATCCTAAACATAGGCTGAATGCATAACGTGTCAATAATGGTAATCATTGAGTTTTCAAGTAGTAAATGTTGATGGAAAGAATAAATCACTGTATGGTTTATTTGTTCCTGCCACCTGTTGCTCTCTGATGAGATCAGCTGATGGTTCCTGAGTAGGCGTGGAACTGTCCTCTGAAATTTCAATGATGGCAGCACCTGTGTTTGCACTGAATAGTTGGTATCCTGAACCATCTGTCTCATTACACTAGATTAGTAGTCTTCCTTTGACTTCATTTTTTTGACAATGATCGAACATTATATTAATGTGTTAAAAACATATTGTCACGGAAGCACAACCTTACTGATGCTGTATGGTCTTTCAGAGGCTAATTCTCAGATCACAAAATGCAGCTGGCCCAAATGCAACAAATTCCTGCAAAAGAAATGTATTGACGCCCTGGGACTGCATTTTAAAGTAGCGACCAAAAACCTCAAAACATTCAGTAAGGAAGATGCTGACAAATTAAACCGGCTTAGTGACATTTCAACCTGCCTTATTCCAGGTCAGAAAATGTGCTAAAAACAGTTGGTCAAAACTTAAGTCTGCCACTGAGCAACTGGATAGTGATCCAATGGAGTTAGGAGAAATGAACAATGATATGGACTTTATCCAACCCTCAGAAGTGTCAAGGCTGAACACCAGTCTGACAGAGCTTGGAGTATCTCCAGCAGGGCCAGTAAGAGTCAATAAGCGTAACATGTAACAGTACGGCAAACGAAAATCAAGGGAAGTCAATAAGGTCCTTGTTCAGAAGATTGCCTCTGCTTGTGGTCTCCCACCATCCACTTTAGAACAAGATATAGCTCCTTCATGCTTCAAATGCAAGGATATGGACCTTCCGATTGACTGTCTAAGAAACCGGACAAGACCAGGAATAACAGTACAAAAAGGAACAGGCAGAGTGCCATCACACTGTGTCATTGCACTGCTTACAACGGTCAGTGGGGGGCAGCACCATCTGGATCTCAACGACAAAGATGCCTTACACTCTGCACTTCGGCTGAAGCAGAAATGAAATGGATCACGTTCCTGCAGCTGTAATACCAAGATGTTAACATTTCATTATAACTAGTGTTGTATTTAATGATCAGTCAAGCAGCTGCTGTTCATGTGTTGTGCCTATACCTTCGGTGATTATTTTTTTTCCCATTAACCAGATACCCAAGTTAGCGATGAAGAACTTGATGATTACCATTATTAACAAATGGAAAATTTAACCCATGTTTAGAATGGAAAATAAAAATGAAAGAAGGAACCATGTAGAGTATAGGAAAAATAATTAAAAAAATTCCCCCAGTGCATTAAGCTGTTCTGAAAACAGACCCAAAATGATTTTTTCAAATATGAGTGGTCTGCTGGTCAAACCCTGATGCAGTTTCTTGTTTGTTTATAACCGTTTGAAAAGCCCTGTGCAGGTTTCTAAACATGGAAAAAAATTCAGCAGGCCATATCAGTTATAAGTATGCTTTCTGAAAGCGTAAACATGGCAAAGCCAAACATGCAAAATATTTCTTTTTCCATTTTTGAAAGTCTGCTCTTACCAAGTGGTGTCATCTGGACCAAACATTTTGATTTTGCTACACACTATACCTACAGAGATGGTTTGCTAGATGGTCTGCTAGATGGTTTCGTTCTTGAGATACGGTCTTGTGAAACTGACGAAAAAATAAAGTTGTGTCAATTTTGATACCCCTCTCCCGAGATAATTCGCTGCATCTCGGAGAGTATTGATCTTACATTAAAATAACCAAGGTGCGTGGGATTTAACTCACACGGGATGACTCTTGCCAACAATAGCTAACAATGAACTTGGCTAGAATTGGTATTGCTAAATGGCTTTCCGACTTGTTGTACTGGAACGCGATTAACTAGGGTATGACGTCATTCCCAGCTCCAACCTCTGACCTCTGAGGTAAATGGAATGCAGCATAAGCATACCAGTCGCTACCCATGAGGGACACTTACCTTCTTGTCTCAGGAGTTTGCTCCTCCCTTCAGCAGAGACAGGTAGTTTCCTCTTCGGCAGGTCTTGGTCTTGGGGAGTTAACAGTAAGGTGGAGCTCCTCAGTCTCAGTTCCCCCAAAGCTGGTGGAGGAGGGGGTACGTCACAGTCCTGGGCATGGAAGGTAGGCGAGAATCAGTCTCAATCATTAAAAACAGAGCCTCATGAAACGAATGATTGCATCATGAGAAAGACACTTCCCAAAAAGGATTTACCTCCTTTTGGTCTAGGAGTGACGGGGGGGATGCTTGCACTTGGGTATTCACCAGTGCCATCTTCCTGGGCAGGCAGGAGGACGAGCTCAAGTCTGCCACCTGCTGGGCCAGTCTGGCATCCGCAGAAGCAGGCAACAGCAGGTCATAAAGGATCTGCACATCAGCAAAAAAACCGGGGCTAAGTTGAAAATGCAATATGAAATACATCTGCCTTGAAAATAAATGTTTAGAGATGGTTAGGTAACCACTGATTGTCTTACTAATGAGTAATGCACTCATCTGTTTTTAAAATGCTCCAAGGACTATTGTCTGTGCGTGACTCCTGTGTCGACTAATGTTCTTGTTTATCAAAATAAAAAAGTCTTCTCCCAAATTATTACAACAATCTGGAGCCTCAGTATGTGCATGACTTTTTATTTATATCTAGTTAAGATGTACATAAAAATGAAGCTCATCTATCAACAATTTATTAATTTATCCCACTGAACACAATACAATGTTTAGCAGTAGCAATGAGCATACATTACTCAACAGTTTAATTGCTACATTGTAGCAAAACTGTATTACTACTGTATCTGCAAGAGCTTCAGAAATACAAGTTCTTTGGTCTGGGTCAGTGTTATGAAAGACTCAGCAAGACAACACTTAGCAAACATTTACATAATCTGTGTTTATTCTAGACCGTATTTGTGACTGTGAAGTTAGCAGTGCTATCTGGGATCAGACCCAGATGTAGAAAACAGATACATCCAGTGCCCACAAATAACTGTTCTGATACATTTCTGAATTTGATGTGCCACCTAACCCTAAAATGTTTTCCTGTTTTATTGCATCTGTTCTTTTAAGTTGCACTTTCAGAGACCATGCATTTCATTCTAGCTTTCGACAAGCCACTGAATTCTTGCTTCTGTTTGGTATATTCAAGCGTAAAACCATAAACAGGCTGCAACAATACGTTAAAACATTCAGAAATGTTCTTTATTTCCGTCTCAAAGTATTTTATTGTGCAGACAACCGGTCTCTACTGCAAAACAAGAAGAAAGTCCAAAGTTGCAGAACTATGGTTATTTATAGTTACCCCAAGGTCATGGAGTTCAATAAGCTGGCCGTTCATTACCTTTTCCACTTCCTTCCTTGCGAGAATAAAATCTGCATCCAGAGCCAGGCAGTGGAGGAACACCTGCAGAGCGTCGTCCACGTGGCCCATTTTCCGCAGTACATTGCCTTTCCGAAAATAGCCCTGTGGCCAACACAATGCTTTTTGTGAACTGACCCACTTGGCAACAGTGGGTTACATCCTAACCAGTATAACAACGTAACGGAAAAAATACACTGGCTCTGGCACTGCGAGATGCCACATGACCCCTAACACATAACACATGGCTCTCACTGCAATTTAAGCTTATCCAATGCAACTCTTGAGCTGAGCAGCTTTTATGCAGTGCCCTTGCTCGACCCGTCATCTAAGGACAGCAATGTATTTTAATTAAAGATAAATGCCAAAGATCACTTAGTACTAATACTGCTTTCATGTAACACAGAAGGTAACCCTTGTATCAGTTACCTCTGGCCAGTGGGGGGAGCTCTCACACAGAACCTCCAGATCATTCAGGGCTGACTCGTAGCTCCCAAGCCCAGCATACGCCTCTGCTCGATACGCTAGAGCAAGCATATCACCGGGACCTGTGGGAGAGGGCGGGATCAGGTCTGACAGGTGCTCAGAAACCAAGCAAACATTCAATACAGCCTTGTGACTTCCGAGTAAAACCTGGAGCGCGTCCACTCGGCCATCCTGTTTGCTGAATGAGCTCACGACATACTGTAAACACCTCTATGAAACTGACGCACTGTGAATACACTGCAGTCCTTCTTTATTCATTGTCTTATGAAGGGAGGACAGAAAAAAAACTCGCAGTGTAAAACAGTAATCTATGTGTGTGAGTCTGTGCGGGGTGGAGTAATCATAGTTGCCTGTAACTTTTACTTTTCCTGTATACAGTACAACAAAGTACATCACAGTAATGTATACAAAAGACAGAATGAAACGATATGACAGAGGACACTTGACAGTGATGCTAACATGAACTCTGCCCGTCACGCGACTGTGATCAGTGAAGAATTTGAAAAACCTGCTGCCATTTGAGCTGTCAGTAAGTAGGTTCATTTTTACAAGAAATCCAGTGCAGACTGTTAACTCTTCTATGATATTAAGGTCTGCTAGGTTGGCTTCACCTCATTACTAAAATTACGAGCTATATATAAAAAAATACCATAATATACTACTGGAATTGCAGATAGGATAATAAGCGATTCTTACTTGCCTATAGTGATTGTGTGTGTGAGTGCATGTACCCAGCAATTGACTGGCATCCAATCCAGGGTATAACCCAGCATTGTGCCCTACAAAAACGGTTTTATTTTAAGCCTACAAGTAACGGTAAGGACTATCCTGGTGTATTAAGGTCAGTCATTGTATAAATACACAAAACCGACATGGTTTAATTATTCCAAGAGTAAATAAAACTTTTGTACGCTACTGAGTGCTTAAATAACGCTTGGATCACTTATTTATACGTGCATCGGAAGACCGTGCCTCATAGCGCGCATGCGCGCCTGCCAGCTGTAGGTGGATAAGTAAATAAATAACCTTCTTTAGAGAAGAAAATTTTGTTCAGTATAGCAAAACAAGGACACTGGTTTCCATAGTTCGCCTGATGTAATGAACATGCTTACGACGAGCTTCATTTTTGGTAATCAATTGTATAAGGCTTGTATTAGAGTTATAAGTTAAGTAACTAAACATGTTAAAAGAATAATTGCTACCATATCACATCATGTGAAACCTACATGGCTTACCTGATTCAATCACCTCATTGGCAAGAGCCAAAGCTTTGTCAAAAAGTCTTCTTCTGGACAGATCTTCAATTTCTCCGATGACTTTACACCGTTTTGTCTCTGCAGGGAACCACTTTTCCAAAAGGTAGTTGAGAATCACGTTTGGTTTCAGTGTCCCCACCTTCTCAGTCCCGATCGCCGCGTCGGTGGTCTCCTGGCACAGCGTACATTTGGAGATCAGGTGCCGTCGCAAACACCTTTTGCAGTAAGAATGTCCACAAGCAACAGTTACGGGCTCGCAGAGAAATCCACGACAGCTCGGACAAGTAAACACGGCACTGGAGTCTCCAGAGCAGCTGTCTGACGGCGTATTACCGCTGGAGTTTCGCAAGATACTGTCAACTAAAGCACTTAGTTGTTGTGGTCTGACAGGACCATACTGTAAGGCCACGGAGAAAGAATCTAGTGCTTCTTTAACGCGGTTTTCTGATGCCAGCATGAAAGCTTTCTGTAAAATGAATATCTGATCTACACAACCCCCCTCGTCCCACGTAGTTTCTCTACATAAACTGGGATCTCTGAAGATCCTACTGTCGGAATGTAGAACAGACATCGCGGATTAAGGAGACAAAGTGTCAGATATCATAAATATGGACAAAACATCTCAATACATTAAAGCGCGATGCCCTCTGACTGCTATGTAGTTTAGTTATTCACCGCACACTACAGATACAGTAAAATTATCATTCTACTCCGCTTCGTTACATAAAAAAAATCACGTGGGCTGCGCTCCGTTCTCTGATTGGACGAAAGGATTCGATTATAAAACCTTTGTTTTTACGTTTCGTAACAACTCCGCTAAAGTACAGAGAAAGGGAAATTACAGGCATATAACATCCAGTTCTTTTCCTACAGCGGTCACCTTGTACTGTGACCCGACTTTGAATAAATGTCAGCTTTGCAGAAGTGAAACTACGCAGCTCGACGCCGATTCGTATTCGCGTCTTTTTGGGAGTTGCGGCCGGTGAAAAGGGGAACTGGTGTGGATAATGTCAACATCAATGACAAACCTGCGAACCTGACTGCGAATTTATCTTATGCCGAAAGACGTCAGAACTCTTAAATTTGACAGGATGTTAGAGAAAAACGTATGCAGAGGAGTGTACACTCATCACTGACACTGTATTTGCAACTAGGACAGCAATTAGAAATGATCTCGTTTAGTAAAAGAAAAACATATATTACACTTTTTAATAGGCCTGTTTGAAAATGTTATTCACTAAATTGTAGTAACACAGCTACTGCCTGGGGCTTATTACATTTATTTTGGTTACACTTTTATTCAAAGCGGTGTACAATTACGAAATCCGGGTCCATACAGGAATCAGGGGTTAAGGGCTTTACTTAAAGGCATATTAGTGAAATCATTTTGCTGGTGCTGGGATTTGAACTAAGCAACCTTTCACTCAGAGGTTCAGTGTCCTAACATGTTGAGCCACAAACAAGCCTAGCTTTTGTGTGGAAAAAATAGACTGCTTTACTTTTATGTAATATTTTGTATAACCTGTAATCTGTATATCGATGTAGGTTTAAATGATAAGCTGTGCACTAATATCCTTCTAGGTCATGTAATCATGATAATTAGCAGCCCTGCATATGCATCACTAGTGTATTGTAGGTTGCTATGTTACGGGCAAACTTTCGTCAGTGTAGCCTTCTGAGAATGAATGCCAAAGACACACCATCAGCATGGCGTGGTACAGTTTGTGCTGTGCTCATTTTGCAATGCAATTATACATCATAACCAATCACAGGCATTGGCAGTGACTTAAAAATTGGAGCCACGATTTATGCATGTCTGCTGCTGAATGCATTTGTTCTCTTCGAGAACTATGATATACTAAATCATTGTAGTACACACGCCCTAGCCACTTTATTAGGCACACCTTGTTAGTACCAGGCTGGACCCCCTTTTACCTTTATAACTGCCTTAATTCTTTGTGGTATAGATTCAACAAGGTGCTTGAAACATTTCTCTGAGACTTTTGTTCCATGTTGGCATGATAGCATCACACAGTTGCTACAGATTTGTCAGCTACACCTTCATGATGCAAATCTACCACAGCCCATAGGTGCTCTATTGGATTGAGATCTGGTGATTGAGCCCATTTGAGTACACTAAACTCATTGTCATGTTCAAGAAACCAGTCTGAGATGATATGACCTTTGTGACATGGCTTGTTATTCTGCTGGAAGTATCCATTAGAAGCTGGGTACAGCAGTCCCCAGGTTACGAACAAGATCCTTTCCCTAAGTCTGTCTTTAAGTTGAATTTGTCGGTAAGTCCGAAAAAAACAGTACATATCAGTGATAGTGAAATTAAGTACATAGGATACTGTACTGTACCTCAAGCTGACGAACCTCTAAAACCATGCAATGTTTTCACAAGGGTCAAAGTACTGCCTGCATTCATTATCACACACCATTTAACACAAATTTTTAATATAACAGGCTTCATGGCAGTCTGTTCATAAGTATGAGTTTTCCACAAGTCAGACATTCGTAACCCAGGGACTGCCTGTACACTGTGGTCATAAAGGGATGAACATGGTCAACAACAATACTCAGGTAGGCTGTGGCATTTAAACTACAGTCAATGGGTACTAAGGGGCACAAAGTGTGCCAAGAAAATATCCTCCATACGATTACATGTCGAGACAAGGTGGGATGTTTCCATGCTTTCATGTTTACATCCTACCATCTGAATGTCACAGCATAAATCAAGACTCATCTGACCAGGAAAAAGGTACTGTTGCCTTTTTCTATCAGCTTGAAGCAGTCTGGCCATTCTTCTCTGACTTCTGCCATCAACATGGCATTTTTGACCAAAGAACTTCCACCAATTGGATGTTTTTTTTCTATTGCAGACCATTCTCTGAAAACCATAGTGATGGTTTTGTGTGAAAATCCCAGTAGATCAGCAGTTTCTGAAAAACTCACACCAGCCCATCTGGCGCCAGCTAACCATCCACGTTCAAAGTCACTTAAATCACCTTTCTTCCCCATTCTAGTGTTTGATGTGAACATTAATTGAAGGTCCTGACCTGTATCTGCATGCTTTTATACATTGTGCTGCTGACATATGATTGGCTGATTGGATATTTGCTTCAAAGAACAGCTGAACAGGTGTACCTAAAATAGTGGCCAGTGAGTGCAATATGTTAATGTTAAAAATCATTTAACAAGCTAATTTGATCATTTGTTCTATTTAAACATGTTAGAAGTGATTTCATACCAAAAAAGCTGCTATTGCACCAGTTGTTTTTAAGACAATCGCCGGATACCCAGAAATATTGAATGAATTAATTAATGTGTGACTGACATCATTATGCAACACTTAAGCTAATGTTTTTATTATTTATATTCAGGTTAAATTATGCGTCATTGTAAAACATTTAAGTTTTTAAATAGAAACTTTGCTCAAAATGTTCTAAATAGAACATGTTGTGCTGGCTGTCAAGCATCAGTTTGAATGCTGTTCTTTTATCCCCGAAAATAACATGTTTGATGTGTCTTTTCCTGGCGTTATTCTGACAATCACCCAAAGTTGTTTAGCTTAGCAAACAGCGACATTACGATTGAAATGTGTTCAGTCAAATGTAAATAAAATCACGTTTCCATAATTGTGGTTGGCAACAGTCAGGTTATGATTTTATATTGTTTATTATTATTATTTATATTGTTTGAGTATAGTCTCTGAATGGATTTTCCTGCATTTGATATATTGGGACGAATTATAAAAATACAGCACGGTAGCTTAAGGCGTCCTGGCCTGCGATCGGCTCACACCATCCAAGTGTACTCTTACCTTAAGGCAGCATTATGCATTCAGCTTTTTAAATACATTCAACAAAGAATAAATTGCAGTACTAAACATACATTACCAAAATGTAGGCTATATTTGTCAGCAATGTTTTCTTAAAATTTAACGTCAACGTAGGTAACCCATTTTTAACATATTTTTGAGCTGAACCAACTAAATATATTTTAGGTTCACCAGTTTTCTGCTTTGCCAGATTAGGTACCCAATGATTGGTCCGCAGAGACACCTGCCTTCGACTGCCACCCTGTCTACGTTGCACCTGACCCCCACAGCCACTTTACAAGTGGTGGGCACACAGGAAGGCGGGCCCATGTTCTGTTTTCTGGCTATGCCTGACTGGGACCCATGGGCGGGGCCTCGGTCTCCGTAGTCCAGGTGGTTATATATGGACCATCTTCTCTGATCTTCTCACTTATCTAGCACCAGTTTGCCTTGGATGACCCTAGCAAGGGTAGTGGCTCCCCACAGCATATCTCATAGGATCACAGATGGGAACAATGGCCTCCACCTTAATAAGGTGGCGATTCTTGGAGGGGCTGTGACCTGCAGGAGGTTTGCATCTGAGTGTGAAGTGGCCTGGATGTGGATCAGCACCTCCAAGTCTGAGGTCATGGTTCTCAACCAGAAAAGGGCGAATTATGCTCTCCTAGTGGGAGGTTCTGCCTCAAGCGGACAAGTTCAAGTATGTCAGGGGTCTTTATTTGAGGGAAGAAGTGAGGGAGATCGACAGAGAGATCGGTGCAGCTTCAGAAGTTATGCAGACGCTGTATTGTTTTGACTTGCTAAAGCGAGAGCTGAGCTGGAAGGCAAAGCTATTGACTTACTAGTTGATCTATATTCCTACCCTCAACTATGGTGACAAGGTTTGGGGAATGACCAAAAGAATGAGATCGCAGATACAAGCGGCAGAAATGAGCTTCCTTTGCAGGGTGTCTGGGCTCAGCCGTAGAGATAGCGTGAGGAGCTCAAAGTAGAGTCGCTGCTCCTCCTCATCAGAAAGACCCAGTTGAAGTGGTTCAGGCATCTGTCCAGGATGCCTCGGGGACGGCTCCCTGGAGAGGTGTTTCAGGTATGTCCAACTGGGAGGAGGCCCTGGGGCAGACCCAGGACACACTGGAGAGATTATATCTCTGGGCTGTCCTGGGAATGCCTTGGTAACCCCCCGGTGGAGCTGGAGGAGGTGGCTGATGAAAGAGAGGTCTGGGTATCCCTGCTTAGACTGCTGCCCCCATGACCTGACCCCCGATAAGCGGCAGAGAATGGATAGCTGGATGGATGGATGTCGTCTTTTGCGAAACTTCACACAGAGTTGTTTGGAATACATAGGCCTCCCAAGCTAGTATCATGGAATGTGCTGTTGCTACACACGATAAAAGAGTCATTACCTCTGTACCTGCCAGCAGAACCCAAACCTCTGCAGGTTAATCTTCAGAAGGGCCGACTTAGGTGTAAATCCACGGTGAGTATTGTATAACATCTGTATAAAGTCCTGAAAAATGTGTTTCACAGTTAATTGTGCTCTGCCTGCAAAGCTGCGGGAAACCAGCAGGCCTAGATAAGCCTATTTGAATGCTTTGATTTAACAATTTACACAGTGTTATTTGCCTTTGAGGCTACGTCAATTAATTTTAAATATATGTGTGAACAAGTCTATTTACAGATACAGATGCTCCTCTACTTACGAATGAGTTACGTTCCGAACTGCCGTTTGTAACTTGAATTGTTCGCAAGTCGTTATTCCACATTATTTTGGCGTATGTGCAAGTACAGAGAACTAGGATCCTGGGAGTACGCACGCTACGCTGTGGTGGGAGTAGCGGCCAGAAGTCGTACTAGGTGGAATTGGCGCACAGAAAAATTATGCCGATAATTATGTTGCGGAAAAGAAACGGTAGTTCAATGAAGACAATTTTGACTTGTAGTCCTCTTTGTTCATATGTCTGAAAGTTCTTAAGTTGAAAGTTCGTAAGTAGAGGAGCGTCTGTACTTTGATTTTGGGTCTGGACCCAGTGTGACATGTATATGTACAGGTGGCCATTTAGGGGGCTAGGCC